GGCCAGGGTGCAGGAGTTGGGGTGGTGAAGCTGAGCTGAGTTGACATGTTGTTGAAAGGATGAGGGTTGGTGGATGTTGCGGAGAGGGAGTACGCGTGTGGCGGTTCTGGGTAGTGCTTAGTGCTGCGCCGAGATTGTCCTAGCCAGCTCATGTTCCACCGTTTTGACGATTTTAGGTTTTGGGAGAGTCGCGAGTAGAGATCGCTGTCGGAGTTTCCCAGATGGCGAGTGTAGGTCCGCGCGAGTTCTTGACTTTCTTCGAGTAAGCACGGATGGTCTCGATTGAGAGGCTCGAGGTGAGGAGCATCGTCTCTGGAAAGCAGGCTATAGATACCCGGAGAGACTCAATGACCTCCGGTGGCAGTGGAATGCCGGGTGCACTTGGCGTATAAGACGTGCTCTTCTGGGACGCGGCAAACGTTTCGGAGGTGGCTTCAACCCAACGGCGGAGGTCGGGAAGTGACGGCTTTTTGGCTTTTGAAAGCGCCTCCGCGTATGCCATCGCGCTTGGTTCTTCGCCGTCATCGAAAATCTCATTCTCATCAATGGCCATGGAGGACAACGGGCGAGCGTTGAAACGGTGCAGGGCCTGGTCTCTGCTGGCAAACGCTATCGGAGGCGGCGCGGATGCGTCAATGACGGTTCGGCCATTAGCCGTCTCGAGCAGAGGCACATTAGGCCGAGTGTTCCCCGGAATGCGTTCACTTTGTCGGTGCTCCTCAGTAACCCCGACCGGAACCGTCATCTCCCGGGACAACGATGCTACCGAAGGTGATCCTGGGCGATGGCGGTCCCATTTCCGGGATGAGGCCCATTTCAAGCCCGTGGATAAGGGCGGAATGTCAACGATGCGGGCCTTTTCGGGATGTGGTTGCCTTATGGGTGTACTAGGCCGTGGGTGAGTGCCATGGGAGCCACCGGGAGAGTGGGTTTCGGCGGTAGCCTGGGCGAAGCCCTTTGGATCATCCGTTGGTGTTGACGGCTCAATCATGTCGTCGTAATTGCCGATATCCAAAGCTGGTTGACGTGGGTCGGAAATTGAAGTTCTTGCTGTGAATACCGAGCTTGCAGGTCCATTCTGTGGGGAACCTGGGTCATCCTCATACCACGTGCCGTGTGAACTGCCCTCTCTATTTGAAGAACAGGACGAGAGCACAGGGAACGTTGGTGAGTGTGCGTTGTGTGAAAAAACCGAGGAACAGCGACCGGAATCTGACGTGGCCGCTGTGGCAACAGATTGTTGCCGTGCGAGGATCAAGTGAGGCACCATTCCTGTTGAATGAACATTGGATGAGTCCAGGTAGCTGTCTTTCATCCCAAACCGTTCGTCGCCGTCAAGGTCCTCAACATACAACCCTTCTTCTTCCTCTATCACAAAGGGGCGCAACAGAGATTTGTCCACGCCTGGAGGTTGCTGCTGGTGACCCGCGCGGGGCGGAAGAAGCGGCCGTTGAAAGGAGGCGCTCGTAACCAAATCCGGCGCTGCAAGACCCGCAAAAGGGCAACCGGCGGTCATGGCTTTCGACTTGAAGATGTTTTCTGAGGTCGTAAGGTCTCTCGCAAGCAGTTCTGGGAAGCTGCGATCAACCATGAGCTTGCTAGCATCCAACTCACAACTTGAAGAGTACGATGGCTTCGTGCTCAAGGCAGTCGGCCAGGCAGATGGGGATAACATCAGGGACCAGGGTCCTTGGGAGGGGGGGCTCGATTCAGATCGGCTGTGGCGTGTTATCCCTGCGCAGATCGTGTGAGAGCTCTGTTTTTGTCGTATGCGCGAAACAAAACACTGTGTAACCGAGGATCCGGGACAGCGATGCCGGGGCAGGCGTTGGGGACGATCGAACGATGGACAATGCCTTTGTTAAACTCAATTCCTGACGGTTTTGACGACGAGGACATGTTGTCCCGAGGAGCTGGTAGCATCAGGGACTGGAAGACGGGGGCGTATAAGTCTCACTCGACCCTAGTTTTCTTATCAAGCAAACGACAGGGTATGTCATAGAACACGATGATTGAAGTGCGATATGCCGTGACACCCAAGCCTGTCAGTGCTGTCACGCCAAAAGGGAGGGTGGCCGCGCTGCTCAACAGTCCGTGCCCCTGTGTACAGCACAAACACGCATAAGAAACAAGAAGAGTGACCGAGACAAGTGAATCAGAGAGTTGGCCGCTAGCTGGCCGTGCATCGAACAGGAAGGGAGGAAGCAACCAGATCACCGCGTTCCAAGATTTGGCGGTGCGCCATGCAGTGAGCAGCTGCACGAGGCATCCTTCAAAGTTGGCACACCTCTCTCCTGGCTGGCTGTAGGTCGCAAACTGCAGGCGATGGGACCACCACCTTGTGTGTAGGGAGTCAAATGAGCCAAATACATGGCTAATACGGATGCTATCCGGTTCGGTGCTCCTTTGTGGCGGCCGGGCCTCGTGTTGAGGGCGTGAGTGATCAGAGACGGCGGGTAGGTGCAGATGCCGCAAGGGACACAGGTCACCCACAGATGAACTCCTGCCTTAGGCCCTAAATTTCAATGTGATGAGGCCATCCGATATCCTGCGGGGAGGGATATCATGGCCGAATAAGTAGACTGACTAGGTTAGGTAGCAGGCGTATTTAACGAGAGACAACTGAAGCACCGCCCGAGCCTTATCCAGCGCTAGGGAGTCCGATCACCCATGTCGAATTCGAGACCTGATCCAGACTTGAT